GCAGACGGTTGGTCATGTGATGCAAATTCCATTGAAGTCTTGGAAACTACACAAAAGGAACTGGTGGCATGAGAATATTTAATTGCATGCTACAAAAGAGAATAAACAAGTCACTTTAGTGAGGTTTCAAACAAAGAAATAAGCAGCTAAACTGCTAAACCATATTAATACAGTACATACACCACAAGGGTTTCAGGTAAATATGATTTATAAATGAATACAGTTATTTAGAAAGGATGCATTAAATTCAATAAAAATTGTCAGTAAAGATATTTATAATGTTACAAAAGATTTCTGTCAAATAAACGATGTCAAACAAAGTTTGTTTTTGTTTTTTCTTTATTCTAATCCTCAAAAAAAAAAACTATCACAGTTTCCACAAATATACTAAGCAGATACTATAAAATATTAACTGTTTTCAACATTTATAATAATAATAATAAAAATAACATTTGAAAATATATTAAAAAAGAAAAGGAAATTTTTGATTAAATAAATGCAGCCTTGGTGAGCATTACAGAATTTTTTCAAAAAATTAAAAAAGAAAAGAAAAAAAAAAAACGTACCGACCACAAACTTCTACATGGTAGTATCAAATTTAACGTGACACCAATGAGCAGTTCAGTTTAGATTCATCATGACTAAAGCTATATGTTCCAAAATCTAGTGATCAGCCCACCTATTTTAGGGCATTTAAGACACAAAAATTACAAGATACCTGTTTTTGGCCATATTCCTAGGCAGCATGCATCCATCAAGGAGAAGAAAATGTCAGCATGCATTGAGAAAAACTCTGTGTACAAAAAATATCAAATATTAATTATAAAAATAATATGAGATGAGATAATATAAAATAGAACACATAAAATAAATAAAATATACAATATCATACACAGTTAGCTTAATAACATGATACCATCAGAGTCTATTACGATCAAATTAGATTTCTCAAAGCAAACTTTAAAGACAACCAAGCCCATATTCTAGTTCAGAAAGATCTGATAGACACCAACAGACATTTCATGAAGCTTAATCTATTACTCCCTAAAAAACTGTTTTATGTATTGTAATCTGTAGAAAACATATAAAATATAAAGCAAATTACTACTTGAATTGCACCATGTATAAAGCTGAATGGCAGGAGTGTTGTTGTGTAGATTGCTATAATATTGGGTGGCAAAACACCGGCCTACCCAGAAACGTGAATGGGATCAAAAAACAGCAAACGTGCCAAAATCCTCTTACAAATCATTGAGTGGTTTGACGTCCGCTGCTCGATCTATCATTCTGGGTGACACCGTCTGCCCTGCATCAGTCTGACCTTTTGAAAAACCAGCTGTTCCTTTTTGCAAAATGTGACCAGAGGGGCGGTTTTGCCAGACACCAATTGATTAGACGAGCATTAATCAAACAGAAGGATTATCCCCTTCCATTTCTATAGTAAACCAATTATAGCTCTCATCGCCGAGGAAGGTTAACTGGCTGGATGGGCAATCAGTTTAAACAGCTGACACTTGAGAAGGTGAGCAAAGACAATGTGCGAGATGGACTTGTGGGGGACACAAGCATGAACGGACACAATTGACCATTAAAGTTAATTGAGAAAATGGCCTTAAAAGGGGCATAAGATTCAAGGATGCATGGCAACCACCATGCTCGACCTGAAAATGGCCCTGATGTTGTTGTGCCGGACTGGGGGAGGCCAGATTGAAGCTTCACTCTCTTTAATGAATTTCATGGGTTTAATGATGATAGCCACTTCTTAAAACTTAATGATCCTTTGCATTTCCAGCACAGCTAACGGAGCCATCGCACCAGACTCCATAAAATTGTATCTGGTTAAATAAGCTATAAATCCTTAATTTGGGGGGAGAGGTCTATTGCAGCCTAATTGTCTTTTTATTTAGTCCCAATACATGATTATTTCCTAGTCACTGCGGTCATATTCGAATGAATGGAGCAGTATTTAATGTGAAAGTATCATGCAATTTTCATAGCTAAGTGCTGCATTGCCATTCAACTAGCACTTGGATATCATTGTTTTTTTTACCTACTTTCTTCAGGTGGGCATCCGTGGCAGTCCTGGCTCAGCTGATGCCCTATGAGATATGACATTACAAAAGAGAGGAAAAAAAACATTAATTCCTAACATAAGGTGTGAGATGTGTTAGTGTCTATAGTTTTTATTTAGCATGCAAGGGCACCAGAGTTCAAAACCCAACCCAACATGTGATATTTTTAATAAACCAAGTTTATTAAAACATACATTTTCATTGTAAAAAAAAAAAAAAGCAGCTCTGGTATTTGCATAAGTTTTGGTGCTCTATGGGGGGAAAAGTCATGAGTTTCAAGTCACATGAGAGTGAATAAACAATCACAAAATTTTCTTTTTTAAAGGCAAATGATCTGTTTTTCTGACACAATAACAATTATCAAAAGACAATTATTTTTTGAGGAGTTGCATTCCAGGCACTAAATTTGATGGTGTCTGTCATTCAAGTTCACACTGTCTTTGGAGAGTATACGGTTGCTTTCGGGCATCTTTGATGTGGAAATTTACAAACTTAATGCTCTGAATGAGAAAGGGAATATACTTTGAAACTCACTTTTTAGCGTCTCTCCACAACATATTTCTTGCATGATTGATCATATTCCACTGCAGAGTTTATCTATTCATGGGGCCAAAACAACATGAATAACATAAATATTCAACTTTTCCCAATTGAACACAACATGACTAAAAATATGTGGACAACTTCAACTAATAAACCTCTGAAGACAAATCTTAACAATACTAGAATATAGTATGAACTCAACTTTGTTGCCAATGTCTGGGGAGGGTCTTGTTCTATTCCTATACACAAAGGGAGGTTTATAAAGAAATAAAGAGTAGTCATTTATTGGCCTGTACAAAGGCCAGCCCTGAAAACAAACAAATATAATACAATATACAAATATGGGTGTGACACCTTTTGAAGATTTTGAAAATGATTTGAAGGCCTAATGGATGGATGGACGGACAATGGAATGTTAGAATGATGGATGGATCTCATAAATTAAAAGAGAGAGAATTTTTTGAATTCTGAATTTTGCCCTACACAGATGTTCACATTTTTAAAACAGCAGGAGTGATCAGCCGACAAAAGAGTAAGGCAATTTTCTCGCTTTGCTCAGTTGGACATCTAAAAACAATTTCGAGACCTCATATATTGTTATTCACACATCTATAACACCACTGCTGCTTTTAAATGCTCCAGTGGTCTGAGTCAGTGCATATGAGGCAGTAGGAACAAGCCGAATTTGAAAAGGTCACCATGCCGATTATTAATGGCATGTCAAATACCAGAGATCTCTATTAGCATTTTAACAATGTTGTCCATGATATCTAAACGTCGGGTAGCTAAATATAATCTCAGGCTTGATATAAAGATAAGCACACATCAGTATTTGGACTCCCAAAAGCTGTACTCAAACATGTCACATCCTAAATGCACATCTTAAAATATACATGTGAAATTCATCTCCTGTTTCGGTTAAGGGTGGTCCTGGGGTTTGATTGACAAGGTTGCCCCCCTAACGTTGACCTTTGGAACTGGGCACAGGTGGCACTTCTAACGCATCTCCATTCGGGTCAAAATCACTGTTTGATGTCCTTCATGGGTTTTATAGGTCTGTAATGCTGTGTGTTATTGCAGAAGAGCCTGTTTGAAGGGAATCTTGCTCAGATTAGATTAGATTAAAATTACATGGTCTGTGTAGACAATATTACAATGCTGCATCACTCCCTTTTAGATTACTTTATATAAGTAATAATTAATGATGGACCGATTAATTTTTAAAAATTAATACACACTACAAGCAGTGCACATCTTTAACTGGCAAAGTCTTCTCCTATTATGTCTTCACACGGTTATTGTTTTTGTTTAAAATTTAGCATATGACACATTGTTTCCCACAATTTATGTGTAAGTATATTCAAATCAGCTCTGTGCGGCATTAAAAAGTCACAGTATATTTGCTGCTTAGATGCAGATTCTATAGGGAGAACAATAACTCAAGATAAACTTAACCCTAATGTAAACAAATAATTTAACAATAAGTGGAGTTTTGCAGGAGTGTCCCGAGGTGGAAACGCTAATCACCAGTCAATGGCTCAGATCAATTTTGGCAGAATGTCAAATGCATTTCTGTGCAAAGAAGTCATCTCCGAGTCCTTTCGCCTCACATGCCTAAAAAATTGAAATAAACATTTAGTCAAACTTAGAAATAAAAAGTCAATAAAAATGTAGTATAGGCCTATACATTGTATTCAGCCTATACATGACGTCTATCAGAATACAATCATAGTCATAATGCTACTAAAATCCTCATTCAATTATTACAACCGCCTGTAAATAAATAAAATCATGAGATTCGAATGGCTTTTACATTGTTAAGCAAAGACATGATTCAATTACTGGACATGGATGGACTCTGGTCTCTAGAGGCTACAGGGCTTGAGGATTTAAACTGAAAGAAAGTCATGCAATATTCATTGCTTCAATAGCTTTACATACATGTTTTTAATTACTAGTAATCTGTACTCAGCAAGTCAAGTAATGGAAACCGTCACCTGGACATGTGAGAACTGGGAAAAACTAAAAATGGTAGCTTTATCTTCAATTATCAATAAAATCACAAATCTTTAATGTAAATTGTTTATTTCTTTAACCATCTGCTGTAACATTGGATTCCACTGACCTTTTTGTCAGCAGTTGATGTTGAAGTGAGCGTGCCATCATTAAACTGAATGCCTTTTTAAGATACAAATGTACATAACTCACTGTGCATTTTAATAAGTGTTAAAGGTTATCAGCTGGAGATGGACAGGGACACTCTGGTAGCTTATTCCAAGATAGTTTCTTCTGTGTTGTCTGATCATGCAGTAAAGTGTTTCAGTATATTCCGGTTGGCTTAACCGAAGCAAAAATTTGTTTGTTGAAACAAGCTATTCTTCCAGTTCATGACTGCTGGTGTTCCAGAACCTCCTCGCGGGTCTCCTAGATCCAGATGGTCACTTCATTAGTTTATGCGGTGATGCTACACTGGCCGTGTAAACAGCCGTGACAGACCCGCGGCTAATTGATATGGATGAATGTGGGTTTCTCACTGGTGCAGGAGTCTCAGGAGCAAAAACAGTGAAATAATTGTTGGAAGGAATGCAAATGTAGCCTTCCACCAGTGCTGGCTTGATCATTTCTGCAAGATGAATCGGTCTTGCTGACTTACTGAAACTTGTAAGGGAAAATGTGAAAATGTGACTGGTAACATGACAGCCTGTGGGACAGACCTCAAATTTGCGAGTGTTCTTCTGTGAATCTCTCCTTAAAATACATTTAAAATGATCTCTGTTGGTACCAATTATTTTCAAAGAAAAAAACAGTCAATGGAACCTTTTGGACATGCAATGGATGCTGGGAAAGTAAGACAGTGAGCTAATTTGAGCAAAGACAGACACTTTGAAGCTGACGTGTGCTTCGCTAAGTTTCCCTTCTACATGTCACTCAGAGATTTGCTTGTGATTGGTATTCCTACAGAAACTCAGTGGCACAAAAAGTCTAATGCTCTCAATTGTCCTTTCTGAAGAGTGATTGATACAAATAGAGAGTGAAGTCCACTGAGGCATGAGCTCATGCATTCTGAGTGTGAGGTCTTGATTTTACCAAATGAAAGACGAGGATCTCTGACTCTGTTGATAAGATGAGCAGCGTGCTGCTGAACTTAACCGTGACATCTTTCCGACAGTTCCTGGAGAAAGAAAATCGAAATATATTGTTAGAATTTATATGAACATATTAACTTATATCTTATGTTTAACGATTTTAAATTCAAGATATATATTGTCTTATATTTAAAGGGATAGTTTACCCAAAAATGAAAATTCTGTCATTAATTACTCACCTTCATGTCGTTCCAAACCCGAAAGACCCTCGTTCATCTTATGGGTGTCGAATTCTGACACAGAAGAGAAGAAAATATTGAACAAATTTATTAATTGTCGAAACTGTTGAATAAATTCATTATTTTTGTTTTCTTTCTAGGCCTTAAATGTGGTAATTCCATTGCTGTCTAAAGCTCTCGGATTTCATCAAAAATATCTTAATTGGTGTTCTGAAGATGAACCAAGGTCTTATGGGTTTGGAACGACATGAGGGTGAGTAATTAATGACAGAATTTTCATTTTTGGGTGAACTATCCCTTTACGAAAAACACAAATAACGCATGTATCTTAAAAAACATCACTACTACATATGACTTGACAAAAAAAGGATAAATCAAAACAAATATTTATTATATTATAATATATTATATTATATATTTATATTGACAATATCAAAGCTATATTTTTTTTATCTAGAAACACCAGGGAAACAAAATAGCTTAATATATGTGATAATATGATTATGTCATCAACACCATCATCTGTCAAACCAGATTTTTTTTTCAGATCTTTTCAATCAACAGAGCTGACGTTAAGTATGAAATCATCCTGCATTCCCAAGTCAACACTGAATGCTAGATTTGTCAATATTTTTAATAAATATTTGACATGGCAGCACACATTATTTTTGTATCTGACAATGTTGACATATTATGCACAAGAGAAATAGCACACTTTGTGAAAAAAAAGGAAGCAGGAGGTTATACCAAAAGATGAATACCTCTGAACATGTTTAATCCAAAATAACTCCTTTATACATACAAATAAGTATATACATTTCAATTTAATTTGTCAGTTGTTTAACCCTGCCATGTCCTAGTACCCCAGAAAACATGTCTGATGATAATATGCTCTTTTTTACTTGCACTACATCTATATACAAGCAATGTGTATATAGACTTCCCCCTGACTACATAATTACTGAATATATAACAGAGATGAATAGAAATAAAGGTGGATTTTGAATGGTGGAGGGGTAGCAGAAGAATGATACAAGCTGTTGTTATACTGCTTTGTGATTGACAGGATTAGATGAACATGCTCCTCCTGAATTTTCATTCACAACAGCATTTAATAATTTCAATATATGCCTTTTCCTATACTCAAAGGTAATAATTTAATATTATACATGCACATTTCAATTCAACTCAAAGTGTTATGCTGTTAATACAATTTGCAATGACAGATAATTATGGAATTAAATAAGGAAATATATATATATATATATATATATATATATATATATATAATTTATTTTTTGCCATATAAGGCAGAAATTAATTTTGGGAAATTATCAGAGATGATTACACTGAGCATTGTCCTATTGCCTCCACTATTAGTCTAGACAAAGAAATCTTTATATGCACCTTCAGCCAATTAAAAGTGATTTTGGCAACCTCCCATCCCTTCTCAGACAAAAGCCCGACAGAAAGAAAAGGAATCAATGTTTTTCCTATGGTCATTGGTAACAGCTGTCCCGCTGTCCCACTGCAGCAAAGAGATTCCGAGACGATGCCAAAGACATCGGATTTATCCAAAGAGGATCAACCCCCACCGCGCAAAGCTCATACAAACAAACCCCATCATCTACATGAATCCTATTATCACAGACTCTTGCTATAGACCGTCTCACACACATGCAGAGCTGGTTATTCCAATATATATTTACAGCCCTGTGTCTCATCGCCTAAAAACATGAATCATGTTTACATTACCTCTGGAAGTCAACCTGACTCATATCATTACTATGAATAGCGAGTACCACGTTTGTAGCTTGTTGCCATGAAACAATGCAATAATTTAACCACAACAAAGACTCATTTTGGTTGATTCAAACATCAGACATTTCAAAAATTCACAAAAGCCAACTTGAGAATGATTATACAGGGACAAAAAACTAAAAGCTCATCTAGAAATGATAAATTAGTGGAAGCCAAATGCAATTAAAGTTCTACTCGAGCATATCGTGCGTGCCTGTAGCTTGGTTTCATTATGGCGCAACACACCTATTCCTCTGGGCTCCACGAGAAGCCCACATGAATAAACATGAGAGTATTTTTTTGCCAAACGCTAAAGGCCATGATGGCCATGATGGCGCCTCCTCCTCTCTGACAGACCACCTACCTCTCATTAACCAAACGCAGAATGGGCTGCAACCTTCCATTCTCTGTCCCATGTCCACATTACTCTGTCATGATCCTGTTACAGTCTGCGAGATGTTCAATGCCTCTGCAAAGACAATGAAAGATTTAAGAAAGGCCACCAATGTCTAGAACAGTCATGCAAGTGTAATTGAAATAAAACTGCTGATTGAACATGCAAATATGTACAGAATCAATTAAATTCCAACATAACCTATTCATGCATTATAGTTATTTTAACATGTGGGAGGGGTATTTTAAGGTTTTAGCAAGGTCTTGAGTCCTTTATTGAGTTTATAAAATGGTGGCAAAAGCAATATGATAAATAAAAAATATCAATGTAAATACATTTGTTAATTTATGTATTTTTATTTAGATATTTTGATTACTTTTATTAATAACCATAAAAATGTTCATAAACACTTTACCTGAATCCTTTACGCAGAATTGATTTTAAAATTATGTGTGATGCTTTAATTATTATAACTAATTAATAATGCACTGTGTGATCTCATGAATGTTTTTAACCATAGTTATGATACATTATAATACTTATCTATTCATTATTACACCTTTAGAATGTATAATATATTACAAAACAACCAATTTCATATTTAACAAGCAATCTGCAAATATTATAGTGGATTTTAATTGTGGTTACAATAATTTATGGCAAGATATAATGCATGACAGTGTACTTTATGAATAACTTTATATACAATATAGTTTTTCAGAAATTTATAAAACCAGTAAGGTTTTGTTTGACAATCATTTTTAAATGAAAGTTAATGCCTCTTATTTTAGGTCACTAAAACCTTAAAACACCCTCATGCATGTTAAACTCACTGTATTGGATTTTAATTGATTCTGTATATTGCATCTTAAATCTGTGCCATTTTAATTACAAGGCATAATTAATGCATTAAAATACTTTTATGATGCATTATATATAAAGCCTTCAAGTAAAGTTTTACCAAATATTCTTTTACCAATTAATACAGTCTAAGTGTAGGCTGTTTACGGTTGCAAAGCAACACAGCTACTTTGTGCATTAATATAACATTCAACTGTGCGGTCACAGTATACTGAGTTTCACAATAGCTTTGAATGCAGCTTTTAACAGAGACAGAACAATCCATTTTCTAATGAATGATATGTAGTGCACAATCAGTCTGAGAAAGATCTTCTTTTCACAGCATTAAGCCAATAGTGACTAGCATTATAGTGACAGACAAGCATGCCGATAGAGCACTGTCTGTGTTTTAAATCCCACGATTAGAGGAAACAACTTTGCATTGTCTCGTCTTTTGTCTGTCTATAAGGCGTGATGTGTCCAGGCTCATAGTCTCCCGCATTAATTTAACTAGAACACGTATTACAGTCTCCAATGAGCATCAAGCTGTCTCAGAAAATTCAGTGGGTTGTAAGAGAGCGATGCAATTTACCTGAAATATCAATACATACATTCACACTGGCTCTTTCTCTCCCTCTCGCACATACACAGAGGCACATACAAGGCAGAAAAACCTTATCGATTAGAAGACAACTGCAAAGGGAACGTGCTAAACCGAAAAAAGGCAGAGAGAAGCAGGAAAAAGAAATGGAAAAGCAGAAGAGAAACAAAAGGGTTGAATATGGATGTACTGTAATGAATATTTGCATCTCCCTAATGAAGAGAAAAGTGGTCAAATCTGCAAGGTTGATATGTAAATGTAAACAAATAGACTGTAGCAAATACAAAATTACTTTAAAACACAATTTTGATGACAATTAAGCATGTTCTCCTAAATTGTCATTGTTTTACTTGAGTGTTTTTTATTTAGATAATGATTCTTGTTACTGTAATACAGCAAATATTTACTGTATTTCTGCACAAATCAAAGGCAGAACAACAAATACTATCATGACGTTTACCATTTCAATAACATGTCACTGTGTTTTGCATTACTGTAATATGAATGAGATTTGGATGCATCTCATTACTGCGTTTGGCTGCATGAATCTTATGGCTCTTCTTGCAGTCAAAGTTGCTCATGCTGATTTTGGACCAGAATCCAAATCCTGAGCCATGCTATCAGGATCAAAGCGGCCACAAAAACGAAATTACTCACAGCAGAAGTGTGGAAGAAGGAATACAAATCCACTGTTTCATTTCACTGCTGCTGATTCATTATGATTCAAAATGCTGATAAGAACATCCTCCTTCACTTTCTCTTTCCGAATACACCATATTCCAGATCCGAAGTGGCCTTTCTGTTTAAAACGACATGGACACACGATTATCACAGAATATCAAATTCAAACCGAGAAATGTACAATGAATACTAAACTGGCTAAAATCCCAAGTAATGCACATCATGTAAACAATTTGAGACAAACCACTAGAGGGAGCCAAAAAGCCAATCCGCTGTCAACAAGACACATCCTCTCCCTGTAATCTGAAAACCTTAATCTCTTTTCTTGTGGTGACAGCAATCAGATTTATAAAATTAGGGACCTACAACATGTTCTTGCTGCTGTGCTGTGGCCTGTCAAGTCATGTAAGGCGTATTGGCATCCTTTTCCTCTGTGGTAAGTGCAACTATATGTTTACATTCTGCCTTCCCTAGTGAATTATAAAGTTTTAAAGTGTTCTCAAATCAGATCAGTTTGAAGGACAACAACTGCTATGATTAAATTCATCCATAAGTGAAGATGAGTTATAAATTGGCCAATGAATGAATGTGTAGTAATATGGTCCACATAAGCACTGCAGAATTTCAGAAATGCACCTGTAAGAAGAGATATGAAGAGACAATCAGCACCAATACACAAGGAAAAGAAAGATTTGCTAAAAATGGTTATAAAACGGATAGTTCCGGTCCTTGATTCTGATTGGTTGAGGCGTTCGAAGCTGTTTAAATTACACTACAAACATACACCTTTGTTTACTTCTGTGTTGCTCGGCAGCCACTTTGTTGGAACCCCAACGGTTTCTGAGGAACTACATTGTTTGGTGGAAGAATACTGTTTTTATTTATATTATTACACTTTATTTGCTCTGTTTTATTCTGTGAAACCTTACTACATATATGGAATAACCGTTTTATAAAAGCAATAAGCCCCTTATTGCTTTATTTTGTTTCTTCATTGGAACAGATTTGAATAGCATTACATCTCTTGCTCACCAGTGGATCCTCTGCAGTGAATGGGTGCCGTCAGAATGAGAGTCCAAACAGCTGATAAAAACATCACAATAATCCACATGACTCCAGTCCATCAATTAACATTTTGTGAAGTGGAAAGCTGCCTGTTTGTAAGAAACAATTTCATCATTAAGAGGTTTTAACATTAAACCTTCAATTCTGGCCAATAAATGCCAGTCCATAATCCATAATAACGCTTCTTCAGAAAACACTCATTTAGCAAGCAGCCATTTAGCAGATGCTTTTCTCCAAAGTAACCCACAGCACACATCATGGACATATCTAGAGCAACAGGAGGTTAAGTGTCTTTTTTGATTGACTTGTTAAACATTCGACTTTTCAATGACTAGCCCAAAACTTTAACCACTAGGCTGCATTACGTTTTTATCTTCTAGACCTCACTTACATAACCAAGAAAAAAATAAAGAAGTTTGAAATGAAAAGATGCTCACCTAGACCAGCCAGAAAATGCAGTGATACAAGTCATGGCCAACCAAGTCAACTCCATCCAAAGGATGTCATGCAGTTAATTTGAAGCTCCTCATGGACTTACAGACCACATATCTTCTTTCAATGGCCAGTAGCTATAAGCGACCAGTGTTACTTTAATCCTAGGAGAGAATTGGACAAATTCAAGACTTTAACATTATAAATCAACTGAAGACATGGCTTGATAGTCATATGAGATGGTTTTTACCTCTAAAAGGGTTGCAGCAACCAACTCACAAGTGTCACCATAAAACCTTCAACGTGCATCGCATTTGGTCAAAGGATGAAGTGGCTGTTCAAAGCTGTAGTAAAGGTGAAGCCAAAGCAGACCATGATCATCCCTGCAAGTGCCAGATTTACTAAGAAGTGCTTATATTGGCCAGTGACCACAAGAGTCAAACTCTTCTGTGGCTTGCTGCATCGCAGCGGTGGTTTTTATACCTCAAGTTAGAGAGATTAATGCATAAGGACAAAATGGGATCAGGACTGATGCATGTAAAGTGACGGACTGAGAGCTTATCTGATGGGGCTTCATTAAAAGGTGCAAACAATTGCTTACCAAGTCCAACAAGAGATCTGAGGGATTATCATGGTGTTTGACACTGACCTCATAAAACTCTGTGGGAATGATTTACTCTTGTCAGTTATGCGTAATATGTAGTTAATTTGCATTACTGAGTACTTCAGTGTCAATACAGCATTATCATAAGATTGTTTTCAACTCAAAGCTTTCTTTTTTGCTAGTAAATAAATCAGATCACTATTTTGAAATGTTCTGGTGAAAAAAAAAAGTATTAAGAAAGAAGGAAGCATTCAAAAAACCCTTTAAATGCTGAATTTATCTTATTCTGTCAACCCCCAGCACTTACGTGTTCTTCAGCTAGACACTAAATCCTGAGTGACTGACTGACCCTTTCATCATCTGCCTCCGCAAATGTCAAATGTCATTTTCTCCCTTCACAAACTGACAGTAAGTGGCAAAAATGAAGAGCTCTGACTTGACAAGTATCCACCTTAAATTACAACAGAAATACTTAATTGTTGTTCCAGAATAGCAGTAATCATGTGATGGACCATTAATGTCAACAAAAGTACCTTTTGAAATGGCTTTTAATGAAAAGTGGGAGGCTTACTGTGTACAAATCTGACACAAATATAAAAAGCATTTATAACATCATCCAAATGTCAAATGAACTGCACTTTTGGGTCAGGTTGTGATGGACAAGAGACATTATGTCTTATTTTGGGCACTCTCTTTTTTTCCAGTAAAAGCAGATGATACAGAGCTGAAAATGTTTTTACAGACATTTCACTGTCTTTTTGCAGGCAGACTGAAAGGTTGCTAAAATCTGTCTATATATTATGATATATATTGCAACAGCTATACCCCTACTTAAAGTTTTGCATTCTTAATAATTGCGGAGCCAAAAAAACAACATTTGTATCTTAGCAAGCTATCTGACTTAATACTTTTGCTGGTGTAATTTAGGTTGATTCAGTCACATTAAATTATATTTTTGATTTGAATAAAAATTTCATCTAAATGTCAGCACACAAAAGACCTTTTCAAATTACCCAACAGACCATTTTACTCAACTGTGCAGCAATATGCCCAAAACACTGTGAGAGCAGTGCATTCATAAGTGTTTCTCTATTTTTATACTATAAACAATTAATAAAATATCTTGTTATTCATTATGGATGTTGTTTTTTGGTATTGTTTTCGATCCATATGAAGTATCTAAGAGTTCCCAATCAGCTGTTGTATAAAATGAGCTACATCATCACAGATATATTTAGTGATTTAACTTAATGGTGTCAGTTTTGCTGATTTAGCCGATGCACATGCTTTGTCATTATGACAAAATAATAGCACTTATTGCAGCTACAATGAAGGCTCTGTCCGAGCACAACCATTACAATCATTTGTTTCCTCAACAGAGTTAACGGCACAAGCAGACAGTATATTCATTCATTATGGCATAACAACTATTACTTGTGGATGTAGATGCATTTCATTAACTTCAGCACATATCTCATCACAACAGCACCGCTCCTAAGCATAGTTGAGTAGACCTCAGAAAGCTGAATAGATGGCTTGAATTAATTTGTACAAATTATCCAGGGCTGAAAGTGACAAATACACCGTAGTAGACTCTCTAACACACAACCTTTGTAGCCAAATCTGACTGTTTTCTGGATTTTGCACTTGTTAGATTGGTTAAATTCACACCTCTCAAGTCTGTTGTAGCATTAAGTGTCACGAATCTACAGTGGTGTTACTGTTAACTAAAACAAAAAAAATAGTCGTAATTGAAATAAAGCTGATATAAAATACAAATATTGCATGAAAAACATAACTGGAAAAAAAAAACCTAATCGAAAATTACTGTATAAATATATTTTAGTTGAAGTAGTAAAATTGCTAAAACTGTAACTGAAATAAAAATAAAGCTATATAAAAAACTACATTTACATTAAAATTAAAACTAAATATAGATCAAATACAAAAGAAGTCAAAACATGAATAAATACTATAATAGTATATATATAATAATCTAGCAAGTAACTATCCCTATTTTTTTTTTACCTTTGACAAGCCTGGTCTACTTCACTCTACTGAGTGCTTTTGATTCTGCAATAAATTATGTGGATGTTATTTAAGGTCTTAGTGGTGGGCGTTCTCTATCTGCTCGGTTTCCCACACAGAAGGTAATCCTACCAGAGCAGATCTTTTTTTGGATCTCTTGCGACAGATGGCTTGAGAACTTAATTGATTTGATAAACTCTGAGCAAGTTGTTGTTTCTTTCTAATGCTGTGACAACTGATTACTTGAGGAAACTCATTAACAGTCCTCTGAAATCAAGTCAGCCCCCTCGAGAGTTAATACTTACTGTGTTTTCTGCACCACCATTCTGTGGCAGTGCTCCTGTGAATAGGTGATGAAATAAATTTTAAAAAGCCTGTTTACAACAAAGTAATGCTAAACGCTGCAAAAACAAACATATAGCATGACTAGTATGTTCAAATCATGAGCAAATTTATATTACGAACTGATTCTTTTATTGAATCACACAACAACAATTCAATTTCCCTTTCGGAACACAAGCAAGCATAATATAATTCAAAACATCAGGTTTAAATGTTTGCGTTTGTGAACGTTGAAACCTTGAAATTAAAATTAATTTCTCCTAAATTCCCACAAAATCAAACCACAGTCCCACAGTACAATTTCGATGTTATCACAGCACCTCTTCAAGTGCTGGGAGCACCTCGTCTTTCAAGTAAGAATCGGGATCCAGCTCAGGGTCATCCAGATCAATACTGAGGAATTTCTCCACCACCTCAACACACCTGAATCAGGAAATATATTTTAAGTAGAAGGAGGAGAGAATTTAAGAATAATAGTTTTGCTGTTCAGACCATCCCATACCTGCTGTACTGTTCATCTGAAGATGGGCTGTTCATCTTTCTGATGGTTCTTCCTGTTCTGTATAACTCTGACACCTGCATAGATGATATTTAGGAGATTAAATCCTATAATGTCAAAAATTGACTAAACAGCATGCACACATTTAACGCTGATAAATAACGGTGATAGATCGCTATTCAAAGTTAGACTTTGAACTTGAAAACTCATGCAGATATCCACAACTTTTATTTCACAGAGATGCAGGACGTTAAATAAACATGGTGACATGTTCAGGAAGGGAACACAGTTAACGATAAACGTTCATTTAAAAAGCAGAAAATATATATATCAATGAGTCAAATTTCACAATATTTCTGGGGGAACAATCAGAGGATGTTTGCATAAACAAGAAAAAACATTCTAAAAACATTGAAAGAAAAAACTGGACATGTTCCCAGGGAACAATTTCTAGGACATCTGCTTAACAAAGTAAAAAAAAAAACATTTTGAAAGTTCATAGACGATAGGAACAAACCAAATATATAAAAACCTTCAAAATATACTGTAGATAGGAATACAAGTTTGGTTTATGTAAATGCTACTGAAGTGAAAACTTCTGGCTCAGCGCATGAGAAAAACACATTTTGAGGAAACAGCCTTTGAAGATATGTATTTTAAATGAAATCTACAGATGCAAATAAATAAAGTGCAATAAAATAAACACTTGAAAGTCTATTTTGCATGTTTCTTTCCGCTGGTCTATAAAAACATGTTATGAAAAGCCAAGTAGACAAAAATCTTAAAATTGACCAGTGCATGAAAAAACAATGTTTTTGCCTGTTTCTTGCCCTAAAATTCACATAACCAAGAAAAAGCATTTAAAAAAATTGTATGTTTTCGGAAAGGGAATGTTAGATCAGTTTTCTTATAAAAGATAACACGTAGGAAGATCCCACATCTGAATTCAATATAAAAAAATGACTGTATCATACCTCCACTCCTCTCTTGACCAGGTCATCAGGAATGCCAGCCAGAGTGGCGATATTAGCCGCACAACTCGACTGGCAGATGCCGTTTTTCACTTGGTACAAAAACACCAGCTCTTCTCCCTCTATTGCTGTCTCTAGAGTCTGCAAACGAAAACCAAAAATGCACAAGTTGTTTTTTTAGTCTTGAAATCAGTGATGGTAATGGTCTATGAAAAATGTATTTTCTGGTCATAGCATGTTTCTGTGGCACCAGTAAATCCAGCAGTGGAGAATCAGAGATCAAGCCCAGCTGTATGAGGCTGTGGAAGCATGTCGACATAAGTAAGTGAGGACACTGCGGCCCACGACGCATCCAGTTATTGAGACTTGCAGTCAGGAGAGCCAATCCATCCACCTGCATCATAAACACACACGCAATATTAGTTGAAATGCTTTTCAATTCTTGCTTTTCTATCAAGTCCTGTTTGCTCCTCCTGGTTCTTTACACTTACAGTGTTGGTTCCTTTACCAAACTCATCCACTAGAACAAGAGAATCCCCAGTGCTGTGGTTCAAGGAACTTGTTATCTAGACAGGAATCGTAATTATTAGAAACCAGCTGAAGGATGATATTGCAATATGTAAATATTTCAATGACTCATCAGTGACAGTTTTGAATGGCTGCCTTGCAAACAGTTATCAAAACCAATTCAAGCAGCATGAATGAGAGACATGACACTCAAAATGGGATGAGCCAAGATGGATGTTACAAAATTAAAAGAGTATACAGGGCCTTTGTGTGTTAAGGAGGGTGTGATGGTCTCACCTGGTTCAAGTCTAACATGAAGGTGCTCAGACCCACTGATACAGACTCACGGCTATGCATGCGGCTGAAGATTCCATCCACCAGCCCAATCTCTGCCTCTTTAGCAGGAACATCTGAGCCAATCAGCGCCATGAACACAATCAGTCCCACCTTTAGAGACCATACAAGATGTTACAAAAATGATGAAATGCCTACATTTAGGATTATTACCAAACAAGAGTCATGGAACCCTGACTTTAGTTCATTTTTAAGAAAAGTCCATTTCAAGTAAAGTCAGTTCACTCAATGGTCATATTTGTAACGCCTCCGGGCAGCTATTTCTGGCATGAAAGAGTCATTTCTATCCATTTGAATAGGAAAATATCAAAATGTCAAAAACTGCTTGCCAAACTCACATTTAAGTAACATTTCAATTCCGCAATAGAAATCTGCCATGTACTGACCCATAAATGTTGTTTCTTATCTTTAAACCTTATTTCATGTAAGATGTGCATGTACAGTTAAAAGTATGCATCTCAGGACACTGATTGCTTCTATGGGAACTGGAGCTTCTAATGAAGGGACTTATTCCACTATATTGCACTTTCTCCCATTCATAGTAATATAAGTGAATCGTCTTGGTATATTTATATCATCTTTTTAAGTATTGTTGTGAAATTTTCTATTATTTATTTATTAATTACTTCAGTGTACAGTTTTATGTGAAGGTCTGTGATGTTTGAGGTCTGTAATGTTTATTGCTGTGTTTGCCTGTTTTAGATAGATGCTCTTGCCGGAGGAATTTGGTCCTGTAATAACTTTCACTTTGCCTTCAGTTTCAGAGCTGATGTAGGTGTTTGACACAAATACTGGAGTACACAGTTCCAGCAAAGGATGGCTGAAAGAGAAAGAGGGATAAATATATGAACAGAAGAATAGAGAAATCAGAAAATTAATCTCATTAGAAGAGATGATTTGTACCGTGACTCAATCAGGGCCAGTCTGTGGTTTGATGTCAGGGTTGGACAGCAGTAGCCGTGATCCAGAGAAGCCTGAGCCAAAGCAATGAGACAGTCCAGCTCTGCACACAGAGACATGACCTTATACAAACAGTCGCTCCGCTGAAGCACTGAGGCTTGAAGCTTCCTCATTACCACCATCTCCAGATCTGGGGAAAAAAAGTAACATGATTACATACAGTATTAAAAGACATTGTAAGGTTTTGTGCAATTAATTTATTAATCAACTGAAGAAAGAAAGAAAAGACCCAAGGTGTCACAATGCAGGTCTCCCAGCATGCTGTCCAGCTCTTTGGTTCGAACGCTGCGGTAATGCAGTTGATCCTTTGACAGGAACTGAAATAATCCACAAATTAAATGCAAAAACCAGCTCTTATCAACCCCTCAAACATTAATGAGCCTAAGACAAAGGTGCCTGAGATATGTACTCCATGTGTGCACATTAAATTTCTGTGATTGATATTAGTTTTCATGCTTTTCAATTAAGATTTTCTGTTGAAAGGAAGCACTTTGATCCATACGCAATAATGTAGGTAAGATTTTCTAACTATAATCTAAGGGTGCTTTCACACATGTAGATCGATTGCTTTGTTCCGAAACAGGGATTAAAATTATTACAATGTTGCTTTTTATTCTTGGTGCGGTTCGCTTTCACACGGCAAAGTTTCTAAACGGACCAAATTTGTTAATACAAGTCACGCGCGAGTAAACTGTTCTCTCATTGGTCAAAGTTCCACGGTTTATTTTCCGGGATTCCACTTAGCTGTCACGGCTGTCATCCGTCAGAACGAAGACGTGCTCACCCACAGACATTCACAGGTTCATTTTGAAGTATTGGCAAAACAACAAAGCTAATGCTTTTCACTGAACTTACGTAATTACCCATTATACATTGTGATATAGCCTGGTTCGTTGGTCCGTTAGATCGGATTGCTTTCTCACTACAACCGAACCGCTCCAGAGTTCGTTTTCAATCGAGCCGAGACCACCTCGTTCAGGCGATGTCGGACCGATTGTTTTGGCGCGGATCCGGGCGCGATTGCCATGTTTACATATGCCCAAACAAACCGAGCTAAGGGGGGAAACGCGCCAGGTTCCGAAACAACGAGCCAGGTGTGAAAGCACCCTTAAACAGTAATGAGTTGACAAGAATCAAATAAAAGCACAAGTAAGACTGAAATTATCTACGAAACAAAGTCTGTACAATAAGCGGTTTCCAGTTTAAAACAAACCCTAACAAGAATATTTTAAGAAACAAACACTGTGCTGCCTTGAAAAAATTGTTAAAAAGTACTACCATACTCACCATGAAATCAAGACCCTCAATCTCAAAGCTCTGTTTATCCAGCATGGTGGGTAATCTTGGCACCGACAGTAAAAATCCAATCTGTCATCCAAAACAGAATGAAATACAAGGATGTCATCATGTACATCAGTTAAATAAATGTAAGCACTAGCTATTAAAATTTATACAGGCATCTGAATTTATGTTCTACAACAATTTTTGCCTTGAAATGCAAAATACCTTATGCTGCTCGTTATCAATTAGCAACTCTAAAACCTATTCATTTTGTTATTTCAAATAGATCCTTTAAGGTGAAAACCTTTAAAAGGCTGATTCTCCTCTTTCAACATTGCAGTATGTTTGAGTGGCTCAAAATGTCTACAGATGGCTCAACCGATGGTATGGGTTTAGTGAAGGGCTTCCTGTTTGCATAATCAATGGAGCAAGAGGATTTTAGAAGTGTTTAGGAAATCCATTTGGAAAAACAATCAGTATTTTTGGAATTCTGTTAGGTGGCACAGAAATGTCACAATAAATTGAAATCCTGTGAATAATTGCAAGCTATTGCACTATTAAATAAAACAGCACTGCTTGCTGCTTTTGTTAACCCATATGCCACAGTCGTTACAGCTGCTTGTCATTTAGCCACACTGCAGTGCACTAATTACAGAAACAGTCATCCGCGAGCGAACTGGGGTCAAGTGGCCTGCTCAGGGGCACAATGGCCACCTCACTGACTCTTCATTTATTGGGTCGCTCCAACAAGGAATTGAACCCACAACCTTTATGTTAACAGCTCTGTGTCAACAATGAGGTTACACATCACACTTTAATGAATGGAGGGCAGCATTAATCACGTCCTGACCAGAGGGATGTAGATGATGCTGCAGGTGGAGAAGCGAGGGTCCAGTTTTTCCAGCTCAGCACGAGCCACGTCTGTCAGGAAATCTGGGAGACCCATCATCCTTCTTTTCTCTGTAAAGAAGAGAATAAACCAAAAATGTATATAATAAAAATGAAGAGCCAACAAATTTCTAGCTATCCACCTATTTTTAATGTAAGAGTGGGTGTGGTAATTTTCAACTTCAATGTGCGAGATTTCTTTTCAAATTATTCTATTTGTTTTCATGATATTATTATAGCAATCATGAACGCACTGATCTGAAGCACAAATAGCTTTTACCATTTACTGCACTTTATTATTCTTCTAGTTATTTACCTATAGTGACAATATTAATCTGAAGTCTTGTACATTTACAGAAAATAACTTAATTTCAATTTGAAAAATAAGGTGGATAAATAAACAATAGTTTCATTTTCCTAGTTATCTGCGAATAATGTATCAGCCACCGATATATTGTGGACTTTTAGTTACTGTTGCATCAGAACTGAAGAAATCAATGGAAAACCACTCACTCTCGTCAATAACAGGATTGACATTCGGCCTGACAGTGAATCGGTTCTCAGCTACACTTCCTTCAAAGTCCACCTGCAATGGAGAATGACAACCCCAAAGCAATTACATTAATTCAGCAATAATTTAACAACAGAAAATAAAATAGTATTCAGACTCACCACTTTACTGATGTATGTAGCGATGTAGAAAAGATCATCAGTGAAGTTTTGACTGATTTCACTGAAGAGTTGGATGGACTGGGGCATGGAGCGAATGGTGTCCCTAATGCACAATGCATTGTACACCGTCTGATAAAAGAGAAACATGAATGAACAAAAAAAACAAGCCAGGATAGGCAATAATAAATTAACTGAGTGCTGTACCTTATACAGACTTTGCCAGACGACAACCTTCGGGTTAGCGAGAGACATTTTATGCAGCAGCGTCTGTATGAAAGACAAGCTAAGTGCCACTTTATTTGTGTGGCTTTTGTTGTTTTGTAATTTGGATCTGATTAAATAATGTTGAGCTTTAGACAAAATGCTGAAAACTGTACCGAGATGTTCTTGATATTCCGCAGGGAACTCTGCAAAGTGTTAAGATCAGCAAAGTTACGAGGGGATGTGAAGAAACGGATCACTTCCTGACGCTTCTTCAGAATGTTCAGATCTCGAGTAGGTCTGTGGAACCACTGCCTAAAACAAACGAGAAAAAGGAAGTCTATGTTAGGGCTTAAACACCTTTTAAATGTGCTAAATTATCTGTTATAAAACCAGGATTTTACCGTAAAAGCAGAGAGCCAAACTTGCTCCGACAGCAATTCAGAACACCTGCAAAAATCACAATGCGGGTATTTACTCCATTCACTTTTACTGCATAAAAAAATCAGCATAAGGATTATTCAGGATTTCTTCTCATTTTGAATGGAGGGTTTGGAAATGACATGAGTAAATGATGGCAGAATTTTCATTTTTGGGTGAGCTATTCCTTTAAATAATCATTTTTATATATTATAACTTTCCATAAAACAATGGCCATTCTCAACTTTTCTGACTACCCACCAAAACAGGGGATTTCAGTGTTTTAGAGGCCAGAAGAAAATATTCATGTATAATTTAGCACATTTAGAACATATATTTACTGATTTCAGTATATTTAGATAATATAATAATATTTAGAAAATATAAGGTTTCTATTATTGCATTTCTTCTATTCACTATAGTACTGTTCTTTTAGATTTCTACATTTTTTATTAATATTTTTTCTTTAAATATATTTTATTGTGATACAATTTTATTATTCATTTATTGATTTTAAACTTTTTTTTTTATTATTTATTTGTTTTTACATTTTTACACCATTTTTATCTAAACTTTTTCATGGATCCCCTAGCTTTCCCTTGTGGACAACAGTTTCAAAACCCTTACACAAAAAATACCAATTTAATTAGCTTTAAATGGTGCACAGAATAATACATTTTACCATAAAGACTCAATCCTTCTTTCTCTCCTAACTGGAGCTTAAAGACGGAAGGATGCAGCTCAGATTTAAAGATCTGGAGGGCACTGAGGAAAGAGTGCAAACAAGTTTTAACAGCTCCAAAAAGTTGAATTTATAGAAAAAGGAACAAAGGATGGGACCTGTTCATATGACCAACCTATATGTGTCTTTGTCGATGTACACAACATCTTTCCTGCAAAATAATGAACAAATAAACCAGAGTTTTATTCTCACAAAAAAAAAAAAAAGTGATTGATACACAAATGTCTTACAGCGTGTAAGCCAAAAACTGCAATATGGGGACGCCCATACTGCTGTCTTCCATGTCTAAGCCAACTCTCCTCCTCTCCAGACACTTCAACAGCCCTCCTATTGACCTCATCTACGGCAGAGAAGATCGTCATGATATGCCCATTTATTCATCCAGCATAAACCATCTGATGTCTCACCATCAGCACTGAGTCTAATGGGATACAGGAGGAGAGATACGGGATTTTCTCGCTCTCTGTGATGGTGGGAGGGAGAGATGGGATGTGTGCTGAGAGGAGTCGCTGTCTGCTGATCTCCAGACCTGCAAAAGATGGTACAGGATCAATTACCGTGACTGTTTTTCACTAAGCTGGTAAAACGCTGCAAAATTGAATGCACACATATGCAGTTTTTGATAATACCTCTACTTCTTATGATTTATTTTTATAAGTATAAACGTTACACAGATCAAAGCTTTTTTGCCATTTTTGGCATCCCCATCCACTTTCAACGTAAGGAAAAGTGCAGTATGAACATCCTACGAAAGTTCTCTTTTTGTGTTTCACAAAACAACATTTCCTCTGAATTGCGATACAGAATAAAATAAAGCTATGTGTAAATACTTACCAAAGTTTGCATTTGGAAACATGACTATTTCAGGCTTATATTCAGGATTTAATTCTGAAATTGAAGCAAAGTTAGACATTGGTTTGATATAAACTCGAAAATAACAATTGAACAAGAGATTATCAGTGCTGATCACTAAAAATAATTATTTAAAATTGGAGAGTTTACCGAGCTTTTCGATAAACTCGAGCAAGCTCTGCTCTTGTTTTGCACTTGTTATTAAGACGTTTGGACTCAGCTCCTGTATGACTGAAACAGAAAATTCATGATGGGGTAAACAAACTAACATAATGGCCATCAAAGCATCTCCAATCAATGTTTCCTTCATCTTGGCTTGGCATGCAAGTCAAGTATTCTGGCAGAGACAACCAACAGACACTGTGCAAGCAAAAGATATATGAACAAACAAGCAGTGGGAGAGACACGGCTCAATGCAAATGCTCCAATATATACAGTATATATAAAAAATACCAACAGAAAGAGAGAAATAAACTACAGCTAATAAACTACCTCTATCCAGCAGGTGGAGGTCGCTGTTGTCCATGGTGTCCGGCATAAAATGCAGCGTATAATCGCAACTGTCATAATAACTTAGTCCAAGTTGTCCTTGTTGAACAAATACACTCAGAAAAATCTAAAATTAAACACAAAAAAAAGGCACACCACTGTGTTACTAACGCAATGAGTACTTTATAACTGAGACATTATTAAACAATAATTTACCTCACGGTTTCCCTCATCCTCTTCAACTTCATTTATACTCAAAGCTCTAGCGTTACTTTCTGGTTCTTGTACATTACTGGCTTCAGACATATTTCACTGTGCAAAAACATTGTACAAGCAATTCATGATAGTTGAGGAAAGCGTCTTTTTTTTCTTTTTGCCTAAATGTATGAGGAAAATGCGAGGTGAATAAACAGGTTACGCGTGAGTTAACGTTACCTGAGGCCAGTTTCTGAAGTTGACGTCGAGTAACGTTAACTAACAAAAGCAAAGAAAGGCGCAACGAGAAAAATCAGACATATGATTAATCGTATGAATTCGAAAAGAATGATATTACCTGTGCTGAACACCTAGGATAGGATATGTTGTTGCTGTTTTTATAGTTCTTCTGTAATTCTCGACACAAAAGTGCCTCCTCGAGCCAACGACGCGCGAATAAGCTGCGACAAGCACTGTTGCCAACTCTCGCAAGACAAATAAGCAACCGCTGCTTCAAAAACAAGCCCGATTTTTTTTGATGATTATCATCAATAATATTTATTATCAATTATTTATTACCAATAAATGAGCCTGCAACATATTAAACTGAAACCACTCTTTTATCTGAAAAGCAAAAACAGAAGCTATTTTACAAAAATCAGCAAACTGCAACAAAAATGGGAACAAAACTCATCTCCCATCACCTGTGTGCAGAATAGGATTGGAGAGACGGAAAAGGAGAAAAACACAAGAGCTTCAAAGGGGAGCTGTAACATAGCCACATATTTATAGCTTACTAAAAATATTGGCCATTCGAACCATATTTACTCTTAGTATTAGTATAGGACTGCTTGTTTTTTATTTCAGCCCGTGATAATTAATACATTACAAAAACATTGTAAAAAATTAAAAAATAGGCTAAAAGAAAGTCATCCCACTCCTCCACGTCTAGGGATGGGCGTATCGATCCGAAGTATCGATATATCGATACTGACGCGAGTATCGAAAGTATCGATACTCAAATCCTTTTAGAGACAAGTCTCTCTGAAGCCACTGATTGAGTTTTCTTTTAGTTTTCTCTAAGATAGGCAAGAAGTTTAAATCACATCTAAGTTTTGGATTTTTGGATATTACTATTCCAAGGTAGGTTATTACCTCTTTGACTGGGATATTACATATACTGGAAACAGAAAGTTGCTTAACTGGCATCAACTCACATTTGTGCACATTAAGAAGAAGCCCAGAAGCACTGGAGAACATTTTAATTGTATTAAGAGCTAAAGGAATCTGGTCTGAATTTTTTAGGAAAAGGGTAGTATCATCAGCCGCCCATCCCGTCGTCTACTTCTGTCATCGCTTGGATTACAGCGTCACGGCACGCGCCTTCTTTTTGAACGTGATTTTCTCCAATGAGGGGGAGGAGGGGGCGGAACATTTACGCTGCAGCACTTATATTATTGCACTGGTTGGCTATTAACTGCAAGCGGACAGAGTGTCATTCAATGCATTGGAGAATACGGCGAACATAAAGAAACTTAGTTGCTTGTCAGATTTTCCTAACAAGCAACCGTATTTTTAAAAATAAACCCAAAAAACCGCAACCCGGGATTTTTTCACGCAACTTTACAAAAAAAATAAGCCCAAAATCGCGTATAATACGCGGACTTGGCAACTATGGCGACAAGCATCACAGAAAACGCGCAGGAACGTAGTTTTTTTAATTTATTTTTTTTATAAAATTACCAAAAAAAAAAATTTTTTTAATCAAATAAATTCCACTATATAAAAGAAACAAGTCTGTAGACACAAAACGTAACTTTTTTTATTTTAATATAAACGTATCCGTGTGTGACATTAGTATGTATGAAGAAATGCTGATAAAAACATTAAAATCGTCTTGTTAGAACTGTCATAAAGACAAAGAAAAAATAAGAAAACATTAATTTACACAGAAATTATTATAATTATGCTAGATAAAGACACGGTTTTTGTGACATATGAGGACACAAATTTGTATAATGACATGGGTATGACATAGGTATTACAAGGAGAAGGTGACTTATGAGGACATTACCCCATGTCCCCATTTTTCAAAACGCTTATGAATCATACAGAGTTTTTTTGAGAAAGTAAAAATGCAAAAGTTTCCTGTAAGGGGTAGGGTTAGGTGTAGGGTTGGTGTAGGGCAATAGCACATACAGTTTGTACAGTATAAAAACCATTACGCCTATAGAATTTCCCCACAATTCACAAAAACAAACGTGTGTGTGTGTTACATTTTGACTGCTCTCTTGATATAGTAAATTAAGCTTACTGTAAATAAAACCGTGTCAGAAGAAGTGAGAGCAGGGTGCTGGACAAGATGAAAGCAGAACTGCTTGAGACGCCATTGCAGAGTAGAGTATCACAGCAGTCATTGGTGAAAGTGAAGTTTAAACCCATGGCAAACTTCTCTCCTGTTAGTCCACACAGGACAGGAAGAACGCAGCTCTTTTCATACAAGACGACCTCAAAGTCCCCTGTTCAAAGAAAATCACACACAATGACATGCATAGACACGCACATTTGTCTCCTGTATTCTCCTTAATAATCACTTGTATAATCAGTTCTTGCAATACAATATTTTCACACAAGGCTTTCATGCAGATGTGCTTATTTTAGTAATGCACAGTGATGTACAAAGGTTTGAATAAATGTTTATAAAATAAGCTCTTCAAAGTATGATGACTGAAATGTTAAGTTCTCACAGCTTGAAATTAAATCAAGCACAGGAAAATGTACACTCATCTATCACTGACTGAAAGACATTTACATACCCCACTGTCCTACAGCTTTGCTAGAAAGACAGAGCTGACCCGGTGGACACCTGGTTGGGAACTTGAGACAGTCCAGTGGTGAGACAGAAGGAAATACACATGTATAACAGAACAGAGGAACTACAAGAGAACAAATAAAGAGAATTAAATATATTAGCACATTCATAGTAGATGATACACAATATAAACATAATATCCAGTTCATTTAGGTGGAATACATTTAGGTTACTTGACATTTCATATGAACTGAACTTCACATCTAATTTACTGTTAAACTGATACAATAAAACAAATGTGAAAAAAAGTGACAGCAATGGCTTATTTTTCACTTACCCACAGATGGGAGAAGACAAAGGAAGAGAATGCATTTAAAAAATTGAGACATGTTTCTTGGCCTCCAGTTATTAATCAGCACAATTCCTTTACAATTCAGAAGGGTCCAGTTTGTTCATTATCTGACCCTCAAATCAGATGGAAGCAGTAGATTATCATCTTTCCTCTAACCCTCCCCTTTAAACATTAAAAATGTGTCTCCACCTTGAAACATAATTGAATTCAGGCTTAAGCGGAGTTTGTTGATGCAGCTCTGAGGTCAAACTTTGGCATAGGTCTCAATGCCCTATTACTCCCCATTTGATATAATCATGCAGGCAGAAACGAGTTTCAATCTCATAATAGTGATCTAAAAAAAGGCTGTATTACCTTTAAGTACGTGACAAGGATTTTATAATCTTAAGGTTACAATCTGAGGCCTTTGCTGGCAAGAGTAGAGCAGCAGCACGGATTTGATTAGAGAATATATGTTAATGAAAGACACGCAAGGGAGAGGATGGAAAGTCAAATGACTGAGGGTCTTGTGACTGTAGACGTCCAAATATCATGATTTAACTAAACTGTGATTCCTCAAGGCAGCTTAGATCAAAAACAAAGCAGAAAATATTCTACGAACATTATACAGAAACCGACTTAAAATAAGAAATATTTTACAGCCACACAATTGTCATTTTTGACCACACAACTGCTGAAATAGTCTGCATAAATTGAGCATTGACTACATTCAGACATTACTTTGGGACACATGAAAACCTGACTTGTTTCTGAGGTAGATCAGCCCAAAAGAAAATCACATTTGTAGGAACACAAAAATTCACCCCTATGTTCATTTTACACTACCTAACTCTAAAAACAGCAGTTATATCAGCACCGAATCATTTCAGAAAATAAAACTGGACAAGAATAGGTTTCACTCTTCCTTTATTGTGATACAAATTTGTACAAAATGGAGATTAGCGGTTAGACTTGGCCACTCTCTCCAGCTCATCTTTCTTCTTGATGGCATAAGAGTTGGAGGAACCCTGCAATAGACCAAAAAACAAAAAAAGAACTTTAATAGCAATCAAATAAAAAGATTCATAAAAGACAAATTACTGTAGATGCCCTGAAGGTGTTGATAACATAGTAAAAGTAAAATGCTCCAATCAGATTGTTTATCTCACCTTGGCGGCGTTAATGAGTTCATCAGCAAGACACTCTGCAATAGTCTTGATGTTCCTGAATGCAGCTTCTCTTGCACCAGTGCAAAGCAGCCAGATGGCCTAAAATCATAACACACAGTAAGTGACCACTTTCACATAAGACCATATCTTCACCTGCCATTTCGGTGCTCTGTATTTTCTATGAAAGGCCACCCAAGTACGACAGAGTGTCTTGGGATACTAAAAGCATGCTAACTTATATCAAGTCCCTTAGAAGTCAACATGTATTTTCTTAATGCCATGTTCCTGGTCCCATTGTGAACATTTCATTGGTATTTTTTACTCAGAAAAATAAAACGTTAGCCAATAGACAAGTAACTATTTAGGCAATACGGACCTGGTTGACCCTGCGCAGAGGTGACACATCAACAGCCTGTCTCCTCACGGTTCCAGCACGTCCGATACGAGTCGAGTCCTCACGAGGACCACTGTTGATGATGGCGTTCACCAGGATCTGCAGAGGATTCTAGAAAGGAAATAAAAATGGTCTACTATTTAGAAAGTCCCAACATCTTAGAAATAGTTTGACCATTTTTAATACAACATTTACATTCTACTCTAAATTTACACCAGACCAAAGGCAACCAGTGGAAAACCGTTGTCTCACCTCGCCGGTGAGCAGGTGGATGATCTCAAAGGCGTGTTTGACGATGCGGACGGTCAGCAGTTTCTTGCCGTTGTTGCGTCCGTGCATCATCATGGAGTTAGTGACGCGCTCCACAATGGGACACTGAGCCTTACGGAAACGCTTGGCTGCGTATCTGCCGCTGGAATGAGGGAGGTATTTGGCATATTTCTCCTTCACGGCAATGTAATCCTAACAAGAGAGAGAAATACATGTTAATATGCTCAACCTTATTGTATTACAACAGACATATGAATTTCTACAGCCTCTAAATTATCAATGTGATCAAAATGTTACTGAAAAATGTGCTACATGCCTTCTGCCATTTGATTTATAGCTTATAACGTTTTAGTAAGTAAAAGATTCTTTAGTATAATTCTAAAAACATTCCAATTCAGGTCACGGTACATGTTGTTTTTGTTACCATGATATCTTTACTGAATTTTATGAAGTAAACATAACTTTCATATTTGTAATCTTTCAATACGAACATTTACTGGACTAAAGCAACTACTTCATTAATCATACATATTTAGATATGTTGAAAGTATCAGATATGATTAAACAGACTTAAGAAATGCTATTGGACATCTCTTAATAATTGTATTGCATTATGTTCAGTCTGTCACAATAAAAGCTAGATATATGTTATTTATTGATACATTTATACAAAGAATATGATTAGCATAAACTTACAAGGGGGGGAAAAAAAGACTATTTCACATGTCAGGGCTGATTGGCAAATAAAAAGCCACTCACAAAAATAATGTCCATGAAAACATACCTGCAGGGAGATGTCGTTGATCTGCACATCATCTGTGCTCCATTTGCCAAAGAGTTTGATCTCTGGTGTTTCTGCGACAGCTGGTACAGCCTCCCAATCTTCAGCCATCTTTCAAAACAAATGAGAATATCATTTTATGTACATAAGGGAGTCCAAAAAACCTCAAAGTATTCACACAGATGCAAGACCAAAACAATCAAATAACTAGGTTTGAAATGCTAAATAAATTCAGTAAGAACAAGAATATCAAAATATTTGTTTTAAATGGAAACAATGCAACCCTAACGTATTCTAAAATTAAATTAAAAAAGCAATATTGATCAGTTAATACAGTACATAAAGCATAAGATTGTGTTCAATATAGACAATTTGTGTTGACATCTAAAAAATGATCACCACGATCCGTCTTCATGTTGAGCACATTAGGAATATGACCACAAACTATTCTAAAAGAAGTCTAAACACTTTAAAATTCTGGCAAAGCACCTCAATAATACAGTTAACATGATTTAATCAACTGTTACATTATTTGAAAAACAGAACCCAAACTGCCACAGAAGTGGATCCGCTCATGTTCTTTTCCGAGAAACGGCGGACTCACGGACCGCTTACACACGTTCAAATTCATCATTTTGACGAGCTACATATGACATATATGGTTTAAAATATGAATGTAAGTCTGTTAACAACCAGATGTGCATACTTTGATGAGGGTGGAAGGGGCATAAACACTTTAAAACATGTTTTTCATCGTTACCTTCGCAGCGTGTGTGTGAATGGCGCACTCGAGCAGGCGGAAAGGAAGAGCGACACGAGGAGCGAGAAAAAAACCAGAGTCGAGCTCTTCTTCTGCGCTCTCATGTGAACGTTTCTTCTTCTTCTTCTTCTTCTTTGGAATTTTTGGCGTATTCCGCACCGTAGGCACATACCGCCACCAACTGTTTATACTGTTTATAGATAGTCCCGTCTCTATTCATATTTTATTTTATTGTTTAATTTTATTTCGGGTTCACCCAAACTGTATTTCTGGCTGCTGCGTGTTCAGCTCCCATGCCAAAAAACCCAGCTTGTGTGTTCCCCTATTCCTTTGCTTTATTTATTTATTTATTTGATTAACTATCAAATTCGTTTGTTTAATCCTGTTTCTACTATATATTTCAACACTATTCTTTGATTAATACCTTCTTTTAATCCTTTTCCTAATATCCAATTTATCTTCTTTTTTTCTTTATTATTTATTACCTTTTAAATTCTTTATCATTTTAATTCTCTCTATATTATATTTCCGACATTTTAATATTACATGTTCAGCGTTTTCTATTACCCCACAAAAAGCACATTTACCTGTAATATGTTTACCTATTTTGCCGCCTGGCACTTGCTATGAATAGGGTACAAAAAGAAATCTGACTTTTTTTTTGTACTTAAAAAAAAAAATATATTATTATTATTAATGCCAAGGTACCAAAGATAAAACTACATAAAATATCAACATAATGTACAAAGAGGTGACATGCAAAGCACCATTTATACATGTATATAACAATAAATAAATAATACAAAACTAACGCTTTAACAAAATAAATTAACTGTTTTAAAAGCTTTAAGATTCTTGGAATATATAGTTTGGATATACTGTTGAACCTATTTTTTAAAAGCAAATAATAAAGGTTTTTGATGAGTGAATTTACTGCGGTGAAAAAAATCTGACCTAAACTCTTAAAAAATAAAGACTTTATTTTTCAAGAAGTAGTGTACATAAGTGTAGGCCTATCATAACCGTTAGAAAATGTTGATCAGCGGCCTCATCAAACTAATTATTAAATTAGCTACTTTTTAATTAATCTGTGGCGTTTGCTGTTTTGGAGAGGTATAGTTACAAGTACAACCCTATAACAAACATTTGAGTGTTGAGAGATAAGCTAAGTAGTCCAAATATAGTCTAATGCAGTTTAATATCATAATTTGTGTGCTTTTGTAATTTTAGCAATAAACGCTAAATTTCTATTTCCCACAAATAAAAAAGGTTTTTCTCACAACAGGGGTTATTGTTTACGCACAATATTTTTATTAATGCTTCATGACATAACAACAACATCCTCTTCTTCATTTCGTCTAGAACAAATATAGTAGGCTATCTTGGATCTCTACCGGTCGTTTGTTTAAGTATAATATTTAACCATTAGAGGGCGGCAGAGCCTATACCACTTTGCTTTGAAATGAGCAGAGGTTCTCAACCAGGGGCCCACTAGGGGGCCTCAGCATACTTCCAGGGGCGTCACAATAAATGTTCAATAAATGAAAATTATTTAAATTTTACTTAAATAAAACTACCTATAGAAGACAGAATAATATGAAATAGATGTTTTAAATAAATTATGTTTATTTTACTAATTTACGATTTATTTATTTATTATTTTTATTATTATTATTATTTTTTTATTATTATTTATTTATTTATTTTTGTATTTATTTATTATTAGTAGTATTTTTATTTTTTTTTGCTAATTGTTTTGCAATTTATTTTGCAAATTGGATGACTAAGTGTGTCTGGACAAGATTAGAGCAAATTAACTCTACTTATCTACTATCAACTTTTTTGGATTATGATTACAAATCAAAACACATCTCAATATACTCCCTTAATAAATTTAGATTATTTTGTACAATCACTGTGTTTTATTGGTATATTTTAATTTCATAAAATGTCGCAGTTTAAAGTTCCCATAAATATTTAGAGCAATCAGAATCATGGGCCTGTTTCAGTATTTATTTTTACTTACATTTATTGCGTTCTCTTCTTCATAAAGTATGTGAACCATCAAATTTCAATGTATGTAAGCCATATATATTTGTAAAGAATTCGTTTTTAACAATATTTTACTCCATTAAAAAATACTGTAAATATTTAAACTTTTTTTAAATAAGTTCTCATTGCAACAATTTGAACAAAGAAACTTTTAAGAAGTTTTAAAACTTTTTTAGAAGAAAATGTACAAATAGGCATCCTGATAAGCAAACAGCAATAAGACCAACATGCTGAGCATTGTGAATGATCAATGAAATGATATGTCTTTAGAGTAATTTACAGTAGGTCTACTTTTCGCTTTGTTATTTCGTGTTGTTGTTATTATGAAGGCAGTGGCCTATTTCTGTTTTAAAATAAGTGAATGTGTTTTTGTGATGCCTATTTACATTTGTGAATAAAGAATTTTGTATTTAAACGTTTTCTGTACACGGAGACCTCTGATAGCGTCTGGGGCTTTTATTTTGTAATTCTCCTCGCTGCAGGTTTGCGGAAGTCCTCGCTACTGTTCGTGCAGTGGTGTTTGTAGCCTGAATACACACACACACAGCACACACACACGGTTGTCCGCACAAAACAGGCTAAGAAACAACACACCGAAACATCATATTCCAGGACTTACACCGCTGTTCTCTAGAAAAGGCCGAAGGAGACCCAAATAAGTGATGTTGTTTACTTCTCTTTTGTTGGTTCTTGTTGTGAAACTCAGTGTTGTAAAGTGCATGCAGAGGCCTATCACATCATATGCATAAACCACAAATGCATTTACGCACAAAGTCTGATTCTGCAGAAATACTAATGGGGGAAAGGGGCCTCGCATCCTTTGTGGTTTGTACCGGCTTCATTTAAAGATAAAGAAAAGAAGTGGCTAGAGGCCTGACTTATCTGTGTCCATCACACTGGGCCTGTGCTTGCGTAAAAATACTGAGCTGTGTCTCAAACCAAGTGAGCAACCTACCCAGGGAGCGGTTTTGCCCATCATAGGCATGTTTGAACCTGTGAATCATCATTATAGAATGATTCTAGGTTTGAGACGCAGGCCAGGTGAAGCCCCTCTGTCATTCAGATTGATGTGCAAAGTTTTGTTTATGGGTTTATATCGCATTTAGACATGGCCTGCAGGTGGATTAGCTTCACAACTTCTGCTGATTTGCATAGATGTTGTTGCTGTGTCCATTATGTGTTGATATTAACAGTTTGGACGTGTTCAGAGCTGTAAAGTATAATTTGACTGTGCAGTGCATTGCTGTGGTTTTGAGCTATTATCTGCATTATCATCTGCACATATATTGAATAGTCTCTCATGAAGTAAATGAAAAGATTTACAGTTAGGGCACAAGTATGTATGTTACTGCTTTTTATTAGTTATCTCCTGAACCTTTTACTAGATACTAAAATGTCACTGAACTAGCCTTATGGTAATTGTGAGATTACTGGAACCAGCCAGTTAAATATTTGTTACTGTTTTCTCGTAAATAATATTAATGGTGATATTATTCATATTAATTGTATAAATTCTATTTAAAATATTTTAAAATTAATATTATTTTAGTAAAGATAATATTAAATAAGATTATTTCACGGCATCATACTATATGGGGGTAAGTTGTCACAATGTTAACCTGCTATTAAACAACCTAAATGTTATATATTAAAATAAATATATAAATGAACATACAATGTGGTATACAACTTCCTTAATAATAAATGGAAGTTCTTCACTCTTTTATATTTTGTTGTTTTCATTTGATTAAAAAAAAAATGTTTTGAGTTCCCATATAAATATGTAAAATCACTTGGATTTGATTTTGCACTTATCTGTTTATTTTGTTTTCCAGGTCTACTTTTGGTTAATTAAACTTTCTGTTTCTTTATAATAATTTCCAAGGTATTGTTAAATTGTAAAACTACAATATGTGGGCTTCATCAACGTTTATTGATTGATTAATAATATATAATAGACTATCAGAAGCTGTAGTCAATAAATTGTATAGAATTACAACATATGAAACACACTGTGACACTGGAACCAACATGAAAAAAATCAAATCACTCAGTAAAAAAAAAAACAACAACACTCAACTAGATTCTATGATGTAGCCCTGCAGTCTCCTGCAAATAATTTAGTACAGTGTTGTTGAACATTTGTTCGTTCTGTTTCTAGTTTGTATTATTTCATTTGCCTTCCTGTAGTCAAACAGTAGCACATGACACTAGCAACCACAAGGTCATGGGTTCAATTCCCAGAGAAAGCATGTTGAATGTAGTTTAAGTCACTTTGGATAAAAGCTTCTGCCAAATGCATAAATAAAATGTTATGTAAATTTGTCCGTTCATTCATTTTTGATTTGTTTGATTTTTAGTTCATTCATCTGTTCATTATTTTATTGGTTTGTACATTAATTTTTTTTAATGTGTTTGTTCATCCTTTCATTTGTTGTTTCTCTTTGACTGTTACAGGTGGGCTCTCTGCTACCTGTTTGCCCTGGTAACGTGTTGCCATGCCCTTCCCTTTCGGTAAGTCTCACAAGTGTCCAGCGGACATTGTGAAGAATCTAAAAGACAACATGACCATTCTGGAGAAGCAGGACATTTCAGACAAGAAGGCTGAGAAGGTATTAAAGACATATGCAGTGTGTAAAGATATATGCAATGTGTTTGAGCTTGTACTATGACTATTACCCATTAAAAGCCATTAATGAGATGGGTGTGTGTCCGTAGGCCTCTGAAGAGGTGTCCAAATCTCTGCTGGCCATGAAGGAGATTCTCTACGGCACGAATGAGAAGGAGCCGCAGACAGAAGCTGTGGCTCAGCTCGCTCAGGAGCTCTACAACAGCGGCCTGCTCAGCACCCTCGTCGCAGATCTGCAGCTCATCGACTTTGAGGTGCTTTTATAGACTTTAGAGTTTAATAGACTAGGCCGGAAAATGACACGGAATTTCACAAAGTTGCAGAAAGTTACTCAAAATCTAGTGAGCAGTTCTCAAATGCTGTTATTTTTATTTTTTTATTTACATCAAGACATTTACATTTATTCATTTAGCAGACACATTTATGCAAAGTATGAGTCAAAACGACCTACGCATGACAAATGAATCACATTGTGATGTGGAGGTGTTCAGCCTTTCTGGCTTTGAGGCTGTAATGACAAAGCTGCTCATTTATAAACATTTTATTTATTAACAGAAACTAAGAATGGCCTTTTAAATTAGTTTAATTAAATATTTATGTAAATCTTATAAATTAAATTAATGATGATGATGCTTAATTTAAATGTAAGTAATTACCAAATCAAAATTCATTTTCTGTAATTACAGAAATTTCAACAACCGAATGGGTTTGCACTTTTTATTAATATAATGTATAATAATTATTTGTATTAATGTTATTAATAAATGTATTTACAGTATTCATTTTTGTCATTTTTGATATTTTTTTTCTACCTGATAAAATATTTTAGAACTTAATGTTACTAAAAACAACAAAAAACAATTTCTTGCTTTTTTAATATTTTATTAATTTTGCATGACTTTTCCAGGTCTAAATATCACAAATGTTAAATTCCCTTGATAGACAAGTTTTCCAAGACTATATTGTATGAACCTTGATTCTTAAATAAAAAGCAGTTGTTAAGGAAACAAATTAGAATAGGAAATAAAATAACCACTTATATCTTTATTTTAAAGAACGTTTAATCTTATTTTAAATCATTTTAAGCCAGCTGTGCTGAGGCCCCCTAGTGGTTCTCAACTGCCTGGTTGAGAATCATTGGTCTAGCCCCTTAAAGGGTTAGTTCACCCAAAAATGAAAATTAGGTTGCTTTTTACTCACCCCCGAGGCATCTTAGGTGTATATGACTTTCTTCTTTCAGACGAATCCAGTCAGAGTTATATAAAAAATGGTCTTTGATCTTTCAAGCTGTTTAATGCCACTCAGCGGGTGTTGCATTGCTTCAGTCCAAAATAACTTAAATAAAAATTGCCCATCCATAAAAAAAAAGTGTCTCACACGGCTCCGGGGGGTGAACAAAGGCCTTCTGTAGCGAATCGATGCGTTTTTGTAAGAAAAATATCTATATTCAAAACGTAATAATCACTTGAATCTAGCTTGCGCTCACTGTTGTAAACAGAAGCAGTTCCGGGGGAATGACGTATGAGGTCGGCTTTGCGCATGCGCCGCTCAGAAGTGACGCACGCGGAAACGCAACGGAGAGATCAAAACAAAACAACTATCAAGAATTAGAAGTACAAAAGGAGGATTTGTAAAGAAGAATGTCAGAGGATTTCGATATAAGCCAAGAGGAGACTGGTTTTCCTTTGCTAAAGTAGTCATATACACCTAGGATGCCTCGGGGGTGAGTAAAACGCAACCTACTTTTCATTTTTGGGTTAACTAACCCTTTAACGGAATTATTTCAAATTCAACTTTGTTTAATAGGTAAGAAACAACCATTCAATGGAAAACATGAATTGAAAAACCTTCCTTTATGTATCCTCAAAAGAGATGCTCCCCTCAATGCCATCTAATCAAAAGTGGCTTCTTATTTTGCAACTGAGAGATGTTAATACTGTGTGTATTCGGCATTCTGTCTTGACTGGCCACTTGTGATCAGGTCAGCTGAGATACAGTTTGATACCAGTTGTAAACCATTGTACATGTTCATTTTATCTCTCAGATTCCCATTTGTGAAATGCATGCTTGTTTTTTGATCAGTTGAGCTTTTCAGTAACTGTTCTGCATGTTATTTGTGTTTAGGGCAAGAAAGATGTGGCACAGATCTTTAATAATATTCTGAGACGTCAGATCGGCACTCGGACACCTACAGTCGAATACCTGTGCACTCAACAAAATATACTCTTCATGCTGCTTAAAGGGTGAGACGTGTGCACAAACATATTCTGAAGACATTTATTTGATTTATTTAATATATATATATATATATAACCTGAAATTTTGCAGTTGTCAGGCTAGCCCAATTTGCTTTTCTGATTTAGAGGTTGGTGTTTAGATCACATCTCAACTAGAGAACTGGTTTGGTGACTAATATGAGTTTTTAGAGAGGTTTTTCTGATCCCAGAATATACTCCTAAGATAACCTTATGAGTAAACTTTAGCTGTGTGGGGTACATCAGCGATATAATCTTAAATGTGAATATTTTGGTAGTTCCCTGTCAAAATATGAATTTTGTTATCACCCAAATGTTGTTTTAGACTTTCTGTGGACCACAAGATCAGGTGTTTAGACACGTTGATGCTTTTCTATACAATGGAAATGAATGGTGACCAAGGGTCAAACTCCATAAAGCACCCTAAAAGTAGGCCATATGACTTCAGGGCTTGAAATGAGTATAGATTACTCTTGTGGGGCCTTTTTGTCATTTTTAGAGCTTGACAATCTTGACAACTTTGTTTTATTGTATGGAAAAGAACTGAGCAGCATGAACATTAGCATCTCCTTTTCGGTCTTTGAAAGAAACTCAGACATGTTTGGATCTACATGAGCCATGTGTATATGTTGGCCAAATGTTTCTGATGTTGAGTTCCTGTCCTTTTTGTAGTTACGAGTCTCCAGACATCGCTCTGAACTGTGGGATCATGCTGAGGGAATGCATACGGCACGAGCCGCTGGCCAAGATCACCCTCTGCTCCGAGCAGTTCTACGATTTCTTCAGATACGTGGAGATGTCCACCTTCGACATCGCCTCGGATGCATTTGCCACTTTTAAAGTTAGTGCTTTTGTAAATATACAAGCTTTGAGTGTTTGTTTTGTCTGGGTGGCATCTTTGATTATTTCATCTTCAGATGCACTGTATAATTATTATGTCTGATGAATTCCATTTGTTTGGTTTTCTTCCAGGATTTGCTGACGAGACACAAACTGCTCAGCGCTGAGTTTCTGGAGCAGCACTATGACAGAGTGAGTCATTGGTTTGCTTTCCGTCATTGTCTGTTGTTTTTGGATCTGATTGGATCTGTCAGTAGCTATGTTTCCATCCACCTATTTTTATGCGCATTTTGGGTGATCGCATAAAAAACCGCTGGATGGAAACGTCAAGATGCGCATAAATTCTAAAAATGCGCATAAACCACAACTAAGTAGGATAGACTTTTTATCCGATAAGAAAAAATGCGCATAAACTACGATGGAAACACATTTACCGAATAAATTCCACCAATGCGCATTGAAAAAGTCATGTGACTTTGCGCTATCAGACGGGATAACTTGACTAACCAGCAGACCGATCTCGTTCACAGCATCTATATGTTGTTTTGGTCATTCTGAAATGCCTGAGGAAAGTCTGTCATCAAAGTATTTCTGTATAATTACTATCTTACATGACTGTGTTCCCAAACAGAAGGCATCCACCTCTAAAAGCAATGACCGCATTTATTGTGTTACATCTGCTCTCTCTGAAGCACAAGTAATTTATTACATATGAAAATTAGTATATTCAGTGGCTTCTCCTAGTTTTCTTTAGTGCCAGTTTATCAGGAAGTGACGATTTTGTTCTCTTTGACTCGTTGGATGGAAACGGTGCTTTATTCGCAAATGTTTTATGCGATATTCCAGTTTTGCGCATAAGTTAAATTCGCATCTTTGGATGGAAACATAGCTAGTCATTCTGCAGCGGGTTCTTCTCAGAACTGTTTGTTTGTATTTAATGTAAAAGTCAATACAATTGGAAGTGATTTGAATTTTAATTGGGCCCAAAGAGTATATGAGCACTTATGTCGGACTTCAAAAATGTCTTAATGCATTAGATAACAAAATACCAAGAAATGCTACTAGAGCTTTTCTCAGAACTAACTTCATGCCATCATATTTGCACAATGACTTTTTAATTAACTCATTTGATTTTATTGGATGCATGAAGTCAGTTCCCCTCATGTTCTTCAGCTTAACTGTGGGCGGCTTTCAGTAACATTTGGCAACCACGTGTCCAAATACTTTTGTAATAATTTTGGACAGTATACAGGTGCATCTCAATAAATTAGAATGTCGTGGAAAAGTTAATTTATTTCAGTAATTCATTCTTGACATTTAAAATCAAACAAACTACTAATAAATAAATGCCACTTTGTTCGATATTTTATCAAATGCAAGTGTGCCATAAGTATGCAAAGAAGCCAAACAACTTTATATTTTACTTATTTATCCCTTTCCTGTCTTTTTTTCTGACTTTTGATCTTCAGTTCTTTAGTGAATATGAGAAACTTCTTCACTCAGAAAACTATGTGACTAAGAGGCAGTCGCTAAAGGTAAGAAATGGGTAAATTTGTGTGTTCGTTGTGCTTATTTAAACTACCATTTGAAGGTTTGGGATAATTACGATTTTTTATTTATTTATTTGTTATATTAAATCTCTTACCAAGGCTGAAATTATTTGATCAAAAATACAGTAAAAATGGTAATATTGTGAAATATTTAAATTTAATTTAGCTGGTCTCCATTTGAATATATTTTAAAATGTAATTTATTCCTGTGATGCAAAGCTGAATTTTCAGCATCATTACTCCAGTCTTCAGTGTCACATGATCCTTCAGAAATCATTCTAATATGCTAATTTACAGCTCAAGAAATATTTTTTATCACTGTTGAAAATGGTTGTGCTGCTTAATGTTTTTGTGGAAACCACAAATAGAAATCTTTTGTAATATTATAAATGTTTTTACTGTCACTTTTGTTAAATGTAATGCACCTTTGATTAATAAAATATTTAATTTATTTTTAGCCCTAACTTTGAATGGTAGTGTGTATCTGTTTATGTGTATAGTTGCTGTGGAATATTACAGCTCTATAATGCATTTATTATGTCATTCCTCTTCATCCCAGCTTTTGGGAGAGCTGCTTTTGGACAGGCACAACTTCACTATAATGACAAAGTACATAAGCAAACCAGAGAACCTCAAACTCATGATGAACCTACTGAGAGACAAGAGCCGCAACATCCAGTTTGAGGCCTTTCATGTATTTAAGGTATGAATTGTCAGCTGAATCTTCCCAGTTCAACAACACTCACCAATATGCCATCCCAAAACGTCTCAACCTTCGACATAAGTTCTTTCTCTATGGATTTAGGTGTTTGTGGCCAATCCGAACAAGACCCAGCCAATCCTCGACATCCTGCTGAAGAACCAGACCAAACTCAGCGAGTTCCTCGGCAAGTTCCAGAACGACCGCACCGAGGATGAGCAGTTCAGCGACGAGAAGACCTATCTCATCAAACAGATCCGAGACCTCAAGAGGCCAACCCCGCAGGACGCTTGAGAAGGCTCACGAATGTATAGAGGACGTCTAGACAGTGTTTTAGGCAGCGTCTGGACGATGTTTGGCTCTCTGGGACGTTGAGTGGCCGCAGCGCTGGGCATGTTTTTGTGTTTTGCAGGAACCGTTAAATGCCGTTTGAGCTCGGTGGGCGAGAAATATGACCACGAGGATGAAAAGTAGTCATGCTTCGCTGGACATTCAACCTCTCCCCCTACAATGTTTTGTTCTCATGTTTCAAAAAACGAGCAAAATGAACAGAAAAGACGGATGTAGATGCTGCTGCTTTATTGCACATAAAGAAGGAGGGTTTTGTACCGCATACACAAACATACACTCAAATGTCTGTTGATTCTAATTGGATATTAATGAATTCCAGGAAATTTGACATGCAAAAAGCACTTCAACACACTCCTGTCAGCTCTTTTGCTCATTGTCGGCTAGGTGAAAAACTGCAAATGTGACACATAAATCATGCTTTGCACATTCCCAGATTAATTTTCAAAGGCGGAAATGAGTAAACGTGTTGACTGAGGAGGGTTTAGTGATTTGTTAGAGTTGTGGCTGTGATGTTAACCCTGATTTAACACCATTCTTCTCTCATCATTAGTCACTGCGCAGAGTGGGTGTAATGGAAAGTTAACTTGTCTGCTTACTTTACCTTAAGATTTGTGCTCTGACTCTACTTCTAATACTAGTTTCAGTATAACTAACCCCACTACTCTTACCTTTTATTCAGTTTATATGTTAAATTGTCCCTTGTAAACTCCCCAGTTCATGGGTGAAATCTCACAAAGAAACATGTCTAGGTCACATTTCACCCCAAAATCAAAAGAAAAAAAAAAAAAATATGGTTTTGTGTTTTTGACTAAATTCACCAGCTTACACACTGTATCTTCTTCCTTTTCAGTAGGTTTTTAGTTGGGCAAAAAAAAAATAGCGAGTGCGATTGTTATTTGCAGCAGACTAATCTGAAATGGTTGGATGTAGAGAAACAGCTCATATTAGCACCTGATTGTGGCTGCTGAGAGAAACTTCGAGCAGTCATGTCCTTTATGAATGTTTTATTTAGATTTGTTTTAACAACAGTGCAGTGGTTGATGCGGCTTGTCATGTAATACTTTAAATCTGGTGCAAGAATGAAAAACCACACAAAACTGAAAGTGATCGGAGGGTTTGGTTGATCATTTTCGAAATATGGTTGGCATTACTGCTTTTACTCACAAGACAGCCACAATCATCTACCATAAAACCCTTCATTTCTCCCCTAAGCGAAAGCAGGTGTTATTCATAATGGTAACTCTTACTCATTCTCAATGCAGAACTTTACCTGAACTCCCATAAAACATGTTCTGCCGAATGTTTACAGGACTGGTCAGAATAACAGGGATTGACATGTCTATAACAGTATTTTATTTTAGTGAAACCTACAATAAACTTTACGTAGCTTAAAGATGTACATTTTTCATATTTCAGTCTCAGCATATACTGTTTATGTGGTGATGGGCAACTCACCATTGGTTGCACATGTAACAACAGCCAATCACAGTCATCTTGTATGCCTGACATCATAACGGCCCAGAGCATTAAGAATTCTGAGAATTAGCAAACTTATCTTGCATATCAGTGCATGTTTCTATTTTGCAGCCTTAGATTAAGCATGGACATCTAACGGACGGGCTGGAAACCTCTTGGCCTGCTGTCCGTTCAATTAAACAGTCCAGTCTAACCTATGTAGATCTGGCCCAAGTAATAAGACTTGGGCACAAAAACAGTGGAGTTTCATCTTGAAATGTCAATCAGTAAGCCAGACTAACAGTTGGAAATAAAGTTTGGAATAAAATAATTGTTTCTACTGTCTTTTTTCTTCGATTAGCAGTGTTTATTCACTAAAATACATGGTGCAACCATTTTGGACCTTGTAACAAGTTAATGCCATTATATTATAACATTACGGCACCTTTTATACGTATATGTGTATAGATAGATAGACAGACAGACAGACAGATAGACAGACCTATAGATAAGACAGACAGACAGATAGATAGATAGACACAGACAGACAGATAGATAGACACAGACAGACAGACAACAGATAGATAGATAGACAGATAGATAGACATGACAGACAGATAGATAGACACAGACAGACAGACACAGAGATAAGATAGATAGACAGACAGATAGATAGATAGACAGATAGATAGACATAGACAGACAGACAGATAGATAGACAGACAGATAGACAGACATAGATAGACAGACAGACATAGATAGATAGACATAGACAGACAGATAGATAGATAGACAGACAGACAGACATCGACAGACAGATAGATAGATAGATAGATAGACAGACAGACAGACAGATAGACAGACAGACAGAACAATAGATATGAATAGACAGATAGACAGACAGATAGATAGACAGACAGATAGACGTAGATAGACAGATAGATAGACAGACAGACAGACAGATAGACAGACAGACAGATAGATAGATAGACAGACAGACATAGACAGACAGATAGATAGACAGACAGATAGACGTAGATAGACAGATAGATAGACAGACAGACAGACAGACGATAGACATAGATAGACAGACAGACAGACATAGATAGACAGACAGACAGACAGATAGATAAGATAGATAGATAGACAGACAGACAGACAGACAGCTAGATAGGCAGACAGACAGACAGACAGACAGACAGACAGACAGACAGATAGATAGATAGATAGACAGACAGAAAATAATTACCATAATGATTGATTGATGGATGGATGGATGGAATACATATATAGATAGATAGATAGATAGATAGATAGATAGATAGATATAGAGGCAGCCTAGTTGGAGTCGCGCACATCGTCTTTAATTTATGTCATTTTTAATATGGCATATATGAAAGTACCGTAGTATTACCATCAGATAGATAAATAAAATTATATATCTTAAACAGCAAAATTCGTACACACGCATAAGATGTATAAAACGTGCGCTTGCTTGCTCATTCTGCGTCGCGCGCATCATCACCAGTGTTGCTAGCACTGTGACTTTAAGAGCGATTTATATATACAAATAAATAATAGATTCGTCCGGTCCATTATAACAAACGGAAAATATAGTGTCAGAAAGCCAAGGGGTAACGTATAAAGGATCTGCGTTCTCGCGAAAAACAGCGTTTTTTCCCTTTCATCATGGTGAAGGTCAGCTTTCAGCCCATCACGGGACAAAAAGCCGAGAAAGAGGAGGGGGATGGAGATAAAACTCAAATATTCATACCGCATCCACACGTAAGTTTCGCTTCTTGTGTGCATCATGTGAAATGTCACGGAAAACTGCGGTTGAAACGAACCAAAATCCGGAAAGGAAAGAACATCCATGGTAAACTATTAATCACGTCATTTGGTGGGGCGATTATGATCTATTGATAATGCTCCATCAGCGCGTTTTTATGTATTTGTAGTGTTTTTTCTCTGAAATACAGAAATATTGTTGCCCTTTGGTTTCATAACAAGAGGACATGGATGCTGCAGCACCTGCACCAATCACATCATATAACATGCATCATGTTCATCTCAGCCATAGAATGTGCTCTGTATCTCCCTATGTGCTCAAAATGTGTGCATTATTGTGATATTTTAATAAAATTGCTCTTCTTTAATCATTTAATTAAAGAACATCTTTGGTTAAACTAATATAAAATAGCTTAAAACATCTTGCCCTTCATTTTAAAATATATTAATTATAATGAATGCTTGGGTTGTTATTGTCAGAGCTTAAGGCCTTTATTCTTAAGAGCTTATAATGACAAGGGATGAAATTTGACAGTGCAGCACAGGTTTATGTGTCTAAGCAACACACACACACACACACACACATAGACACAAATCCAATAGAGACAAAATGGCAGATGGCTATGGTGAGGAGAAATGACTTCCGTGAGATTTAGCTGTTTAATATCAGCGTGTATGTGTGGGTTTTGCTGTCTTTGGGGACCAAATTACCTCCTAACGATGAAAAAAAAAACAAGGTGAAGTGAGTAATTCATGGCCCACTAGCATCTCTAATTATTCCTTTTGTCAGAGAATGCATACTTCCCTGCTATAAAAAATGCAAAAATCATGTCAGTTGGGTATGAGTATGCAGTATTCAAGAAACATAGGCAGGGGAGGTTGTCATAACGTTCTGGTGAAGTTTCCTTGAAGTTATAAACAAATCAGAGACAGAAAAGTTATAAACAAATCATTAATAGAATGCTTGTTCAAAGTTATCTGGTCTTTAATAGCATTCTCAAAACATTAGCACAGAAATGTTATTTATACATCGTTCATGGAACATTATACTGACATTACTGCTTACTACATGTTACTGTTGAAAAAATGTTTTGATGCTGGGATGCTGGTTTAAGCTGGTCCTTTGCTGGTTTATGCTGGTCTTTTTGCTGGTTTATGCTGGTCATGTGCTGGCAAAGGACCAGCATAAACCAGCATCCCAGCGTCAAAACATACCTAACCAGCATATGCTGGTTTTTTCAACAGGGTACTGAACATTAAAATGTAACATTACCATAAAACTGATCAAATGGAACATTCACTGAATGTTTTCTATAACCTTTGTATTCAGTAATAATGTTTTCATAACTTAAAGGGAACAATATGGCAATGGGGGCAATATCTGGCTGACTTCCTGCATCCACAGAGATGCTAAATTGTGCAGTCGTTGGACACTTTGCTTTCCCATAAGGCCATGGGAGCTGAGGATCCAGAACTGAAAAATACAAAATGAGGAGAGAGAGAAAAAGATACAGACTTGACTTTAAACAAATAATGTTTTTGTTTTGTTTTGTAAAAATGGGGTAGGTGTTAGGTTAGCATTTTTTTAATATTTCAAATCTAATTATCTTAATGCAAAAACGATAAGCTGATAAGTCAAAGGGAAGTCACCATCATTATATCAAACCAAACGTGCATGTGTGAGTTAAGAATGAGGCCAGATCAGGCCATGTGCTGTGCAGTTGGCAGATGGGTTGCAAGACTGGGGGCGTTATTAGTCATTGCCTATCGGCATCTCGCATCTAATAATTTCCCGCTGTAGTACGAGAGCGCTGAATAATCCATTCTTGGCTGCATGGCATACAAGTGAGTGTAGTGCCGATTGTAGCACGTCTCCCAGTGTGTGGGTGATCATACTGAAAGTGGCACGGCATATTGAGGACATGATGAATTCATTACTGCTTTGTGTGCGTGTTGGGTTTTGCCATCTTGGTAAGGAGCAAATGTCCCTGCAGAGATAGTACAACCTAAAATGACCTACTTTGTGGAGGCCTGTGGGAGGAGCTCATGATGAAAACAACTTCATAAAGGGGCTAAATGTCTTAATTCAAATTAGGGTGTAGTAGTATGCTAAGGGAAATAAAAATTCGTAAATGTCCCTAATATGATATAAAAATGTGTGTGTGTGTGTGTGTGTGTGTGTATTTGTAGGTGGACGAGGAGCTGGTCTTGCCTATCGGACGGAAACGCTCCTCTCTGAGTGGACTCTGCTGTCTGACAACTGCACTGATAGTCTTCACCTGCAGTTTGATATATGCTTCAATTTATATCTACCGCTACTACATCATTCCTCAGGTAGCACACAATTATATGAGTGGCATAAAACCCGAAACACACTGCACGATTTCTGGCTGTCCCAGACGAAAAATTGGCATCGTGAAACAATCGTGGCGATTTCTGTGATCGTGGCTCCAAATCAGTGGTCCTGTGTCGTACAGTGAGAAAGGTTCAAAGACGGCTGTTGTCACGGTCTTACGAACAAAGATAGCCTACGATCGTTTTCTGCCAGTGTCAGAAATACAGCATGATCATCGCACAGTGTGTTTGCTGCTACGACCCACGTTTACTGACCAGCCCCCCCAAAAAAACGTGACATGAAATCAACGCGACATGGTGCTAAAACATAAAACTGCTTACCTCAAGCTCTTATGCCTTCCTCTTTCGCCACTTCCACTTTTTTAAGCACACATAAAAACTACAACTGCTAAAGTGTGATTCATCATGCTCTTTTTGTTTACCACTAGCGCATGCTGATGACATTTTCTTGTATAGAAACGTGCGTCGTAGCATACAAGTCGATATGTGTCATCATCGTGCAGTCTACATGCATGTCGTACCCACGTTTATTAGATTCATGTCACACATTGTGATCTGCATTGATCTTATAGGATTGCTAAAATCGCGCCGTGTGTAGAAGGCTTAACACTCACAATTATGATTAGTTAAGCTGAAGCCTCTGTTAGTACTGGTTTTCTATTTTTGTCTCAGCAAGAGCTTCAATGTTTTGTTAATGGCTCGCTGCTGTGATTCATCTGCTATGTGATTTGTTTTTGAGTTGAGTGAATGATTCAATGACTCACTCATAAACTACTACTTTGTACTATTACTTTGTTTTCCCATTTATTGACTGACAACTCTCCTGTCCCCGTGTTGAGAAAAATTGGGAGTAAGTGCACTGTGTAAACACGATGGTTACTGTAGTTCCAGAATAAGTGTGAACATGCATTTACTCAACTCGCACAAAAACAGATTCAGTATGATTCAGATTCAGCCCACCAGTGTCTTTGCTGCTGACCTTCAATTATCCAATTCAACCATAATAATAAGCAAAAATGACTTTAGATAAACATGACATTTGTGTGTGTAGTGTTGAACTTTGTTCTCCTGCATCCTATTCTTCTGCAATCTAGAATGACAGCACAGCTGAAAGGTTTGTTTGAGCCACATCCTCTACTGTACAGACGTGAATTTTGAATTTACATTTCCT